TCACACCACAGTATCTCTCTGATTACCCGTGGTTATTACTGTACTGTTAGCATTACCGGCCATACCGTATTCTTTTTTTTTTTTTTTTTTTTAATCCCACTATTTTATTCATTACCCTCAACCCTAGAATGCCTCCTGGTAATACCCCAGGGAATGAATGGAGTCATTTCCAAGGGAGTGCCAGTGGGTGTTGGTGGTGAGAACTTTCCTCAGCTAGCAGAGCTGTGGAAGATGGTAGAAGCACCTGGGGGGGGGGGTCCCCCAGCAGGAGTGAGACCAGCAAATGAGAACAAGAGGGCTACTTCTATCTCGGCTATAGCCAGTATGGGTGGAGAACGTCTTAAGCGGAAGCAGCATCTGAGGCTAGTGAGAAATCCAGTCTGCAGGGGGGCAGGCTGGAGCTTCAGATCTGGGGGGCTGCCAGCTTTTAGAAGATCTGGGGGCTTTTGAAGAAATCAAAGTTCTCCCCGGAGAAGGGGCCTGTTACCCTCTGTGTGACCCCTCTGCCTCAGTTCCTCATCTGTGAAGTAGGGGAATGACAGTCCTACCTCCTGAGATGTCTGTGTGGCTTCGTGGAGACTGCACTTGACATACAGCGCCCTTTACCAAGTGTTTCTTCGGCTGCGGTAGTTTCCAGAGCAGGGAAGAGCTCAGAGCCTGCCGTCAGTTACATTTGGGGTTGAATCCTGGCTCCGAGTCCAATCCTGGCTGTGTGTGCATCCTTGCCCAGTGCCGTCCCCTTTCTGAGGCTCAGTGTCCTTGTCTGGAAAATGGGCTACAGAACCGTGCCGGTCGATCACCGTCCCCATCTGACTGGGAGAGCAGGAGATACCAGATTACCTAAATCCATCTGAGCACTGAGTTCCAGGAGCAGGGAGGAGAATTCTGAAGATGTGCACTTTTTCCAACATATATCCAACTCAGTGTGCTTCCTGAGGTCAGCTGACATGGGAAGCCAGCACTCTCTCTATCCTTGGGGTGTTTCAGGGACTCAGGGAGACGCTCACATAAAGAACTTGGCACAGAGCCTGGCTGAAAGCAGGCATGCACCGTATGAGACGCCTTCCTATCTTTCGAATGAATGAATGACGCATGGAGCCCTCTCCCCAGCTCCTCCCGACCCAGAAGCAGGGGAGAAACATCCAGCCCTGCCGCCCTCCCTCACTGTGGCCCAGAAAGCATCGGTGCCATCTGCATGGGGCGGAGCAGCAGAGAGTACCCACTGACGGGAGGAAAGACCATGTGAGGACAGTGGGGGAAGACGAGATCCTGGCCACCAGGAAGGAGAGGCCCGGGAGTATGGGGCGGACACCTGTGAAATCCGGCCGAGGACGTCACAGCGGCCTTCGCCTCTGGTTCCCTGGCTGAGCACATCCCCCTCACAGTTTAAATTTAGGCTCAGTGAAAGGAAGCTGGCAGTGGCAAGGGCCAGTGCCGTGGAAAGGACAGAAGGTTTCCGGAAAATGTCAGTGAATAGCCAATACACTGAGGCGGTGCCGACTGCGAGCCTGTCCATGCCTGTTACGGGTATTAACTTGCTTTCTCTTCCCAGCAACCCTGTGAGAAGGCATGAGGATTATCGCCACTGGTTTACAGAGGGCGAATTGAGGCTCAGAGAGGTGGAGTCGTTTGCCTAAAGTCGCACAGCTGATAAGAGGCAGAGTCAGGATTTGAATCCGGTCCCCAGAGCCCCTGCTCTTAACTACTATGCTCTACTGCTCCAATAATAACAGTAATAGTAGAATTAATAATAGCAAACAGGTGTTGAGGGCTACCTATATGTCAAGCCCTATCCTAAGGATTTTTGAAGCACATTTAATTTGTACAGCACTCCCAAGAAGGAGATATTGTGATTATCAGCTTTTCACAGATGGAGAAGCTCAAACCGAGAGAGGTTGAGTCACTTGCCCAAGGTTACACAGGTGGCAAGTGGCAGAGTCAGGATCTGAACCCGAGCCTTCTGGTTGCAGAGCTGCAACTCTCGGGCACCTGCAGCCTCCTGAATGACACAGATGCCCCCTCCAGCCACCCAGGGAGGCAGGTTGAGGGGGATCCCAAAGCCCACTGGACGCTGGTTATTAAGAATCATGGTGACAGAGCGCCTGGCTGGCTCAGTCGGTCAAGCGTCCCGCTCTTGATCTCATCGTGGTGAGTTCAAGCCCCACACTGGGCTCCATGCTGCGTGGAGAGTCTACTTTAAAACAAACCAACAAAAATCACAGTAACAATGACAACTCTAGGGAAACAGCATAGTCCCCTTTGCAGACCAGGCCCAGGGAGCCCAGGGAACCCAGGGAACCCAGGTCACTTGGCCAAGCTCACAGCGCCAGCTTGGAGCGCCTCATGCCTCCCCAGCCTGGCCTTGACTGCCACCTGACCCTGCCTGGCCCTTGCAGCCAACAGAGACATGGCGTCCATCGTGTCGGAGATCATGATGTATGTGCTCATCGTGGTGTTGACCATATGGCTCGTGGCAGAGATGGTTTACTGCTACAAGAAGGTCGCCGCAGCCACGGAGGCCGCCGCACAAGAGAATGCGTGAGTGGCCCTGGTGGGGAGGGGGTCAGGCGACCCAGACACGCAGGCTTCCCAGAGGGGTATGTGTGTTGTCACGGATGGGTGGGGTCAGGACCCAGAGTCTGACCCCCCGAGGTCCCCTCCTCCCTCAGACTCAGGATTCCAGGCCCCAGCCTGAACTTCCCGCAGATCCCTAGGTGTCCAGCCTGCGGTGCCCGCCTCTCTCTAACTCTGGAACCCTGTGCACCTAGGGCAGAGACCCCAACCCTCCTAGGTTTCCCGGGGGTGGGCCAAACTGACAATGGGGTCACTCTACACCTGGCCTTTGCCCCCACAGCTCGGAATACCTGGCCATCACCTCAGAAAGCAAAGAGAACTGTACGGGTGTCCAGGTGGCTGAATAGCCCCGGTAAGGTAGGTGGGTGGGCAGGGGCTGAAGGGCCTGGGTGGGTGTCAGCCCACTAGGTCACTGACACCTGTCTCTCCCTCACCTTTAGGCCCTGGGCTCCACCTCAAGGAAGAGCCAGCCCTAATGGGGAACATCTGGGCACAGCCTGCCCCCAGGGGGGGTTGGCCATTCCTGGGCCTCCACGAGCCTCAGAGTCCTGCCAACGGAGCTGCCAGGGTGGGAGGGGGCAGGGGGCTTGGCTCACACCCCCGATCCAGCCCACTTCCTCCTGCCCCATCGCCCACCCACGCCATGCATGATGGGTAAAGCAATACTGCCGCTGCCCCCACCCCTGCTTCTTGCTGCCTGTTTAGGAGGGGGGGCGGTGAGGTGGGGGCAGCGGCTCCGCACCCCTCCTTCTTGCTGATTTGCACACACTGGCCGCTTCAGATGCACACTACTGGGGCCCAGCCCCTCCCTCCCCCCTCCTCCACCCAGCAGAGGGGGGGGTTCGTGATGGGCGGGCACAGTTTGGGGCAGGGGGTTCTGGACCCACTCCGACCCAACCCCCAGAGACATTTCCCCTCCTTCCTCTGGCTGGACCTGGGGTCCCCTCTCCCTGTGATGCACTCTTGCCCCAGCCCACCCCTGCCCTCTCTCACCAGCCTTGGACTGTGGCCACTTAGAAAGGCCCATTCAGCCTCTTCTCTCTTCACACGAGTAGTTTTGTTCATGAAATAAAGATTCTTGGACTTGATTCATAGTCTCTCTCGTGAGCCCCGTCACCCTCTACACCCCCACCCAAATCCAGAAGCCTCCGTTTTCCTGGGGACCCGCCCTCTGTGCACATTCAGGAAAAGGAGGGGGAAGAAGCAGCCACTTAATTAGTGGGGACCGGGAGGGTCACTAGCTCAGCGGGCACCATGAGTTGGATGGGAGGCTGGGAGGGGGCCAGAGAGGAGTCATGGGGGCAGCAGGGAAGGGAAGGTGCTATGGAGGGAAGAGAGACATCAGGCGTTTTGGTGGTTCTCTGTGTTCCTAGCAGAGTGGCTCTCTGCCGTGGTGGGAGCTGGGGAGGGGTGAGGGAGGGAGAGAAAGATGCAAATGGGGGGAGGGGCAGAGAGAGATTAGGGGCTGGCAGCACCAGCGGCCCCCCCCCCCCCCCCCCCCCAGCCCTCGCCCGAGGGTGGGAGTCTGCATAGGGCCGAGCATGTGGGATGAGCCGCCGCGGTCTGGGTTTGGGTGCATGGCTGTCCACTAGCAGGTGGCTGCTGGTGACCCTTGTGTGTCTGGGTGTTTATCTGGCCCTGGGGTCTGACGTGGATCACTCTTGGCTGCTGGTGGGACAGTGTGTATCTGCCTGTGGACACTTCCGGCCACTTGGCCTGGACCTCAGCACTCGGTGCTGCCTTTTCCGGGCCAAGACCCCCATCCCCCCACCCGGTGCAGGTCTTCCAGGCTCCAGAGGTCACGGCTGCAGGCAGCAGAGAGGCTGCCAAAGCAAACCAGCCCCCGTGACTTGTAGGAAGGCAGCTGGGGGGAGGGGGCTGGGGCAGGAGTTGGCGGGGGTGTTGGGGGGGGGTGGGCTGGGGCCAGGGCTGGGGCAGGGACCAGGACTGCCTTGTTCAGGAGCTGGACTTGGGGACGGGAAATAGCAGGGGGCAGTGGTAGGCCTGGGTTCAGGCAGGGGGCTGGGGTGGGGTGGGGGGTGAGCTAGAAGGGACAGGGGTGGATAGGGAGGGAGTTAGGCCTGAGCTGGGGCCAGGTGGGGCTAAGGCAAGGAGGGCTGGGCCAGAGGCAGGAGAAGTGGCAGGGTGGGCTTGGGGCAGCTGCGGCCCTCTATCCGGTTCCCTCCAATTCAAAGGCCCACTCTTCAGTCCTTGTAAGCACCCCCCTACCCCAGCCTGCTCTGTCTGCTCAAAGCCCCCCGTCTTCGGGCCAAACCGGTCCCTGCTCCCGCCTCCCCTCAGACTGGCACACCTGGGCCCCCTCCAGGCCGGAGGCAGGCTCCACAGGTTGCTTGGGCCGGCCAGGTCCAGCCCCTGCAAACCCTGCCCCACCAGCCAGGTGGCCTCCCGCGCTGCCAATCCGTTTGCCCTGCCCCTCCCCGCCCCTTCCCCCGCCTCCGGCCCGGCCCCCTCCTCCTCAGGTGAGGCAGCCAGGCCTAGCAGGCCCCACGCCGCTGCCTCTGCCTCCGGGCCACCGCTGCTGCGGGGCCACCATGCCCCTGCCCAGGCCTGGAGACTGACCCGAAGAGGGCACTATCTCTCAGCTCCGCCCCCACCTGCCGGACCCCAGGGTAAGGACCGGGGCCCTCACTTCCGGGCCCAGGGCATGGGTGCCCTCGTGCCCACATCAACCTAATGCCCACGTCCCAATAGCGGGGTTCCCGGGGGCCCCAAGAGTGGGCTCTCAGACGTCTCTCCAAGGACCTCAGAGCTCTAGCCGCCTCTTGCTCAGATTCAGAGATTGGTCCCTGGGTCTCCTCTTCCCTCAGACCCAAGACTCTGGGCCCCTGTGCCCCTCCTCCCACACACCCAGGAGTTCTGAGCCCCCAAATCCCTCTTTCCCCAGGACCCAGGAGTTCAGGCTCCCAGGTCTCTCTACTCCCTCAGAGCCAGGCGTTCAGACCCTCGGTCCCCTCCTCCCCCAGGCCCAGGAAAGGGGCCCCCAACCCTGCAAATCCAGGCGTCCCCTGGTTGCTGGTCAGACACTGACCCCATCCTTGAACCCAGCCTGATCTGCGTCCGTGATCACGGTGTGCCCTGGCCGGGGCCCAGTCCGTCCAGCCTCCCTGGATGGGCGCCTGGGACTGGGGGCACCAGGGCTGGGTTTGGCTCCCCCAGGCCCTGCCTCTCTGTTCGTCTCCCCACAGGTCCCACCCCGGCCCAGGAGGTCAGCCGGGGAATCATTAACAAGAGGCTGTGACATGGCGGAGAAGGAGGGTGAGTCCCCTTTTCTTTGAGTCCCGACTTTGGCTTTGCCTGGCGCCCCTCCCTCTGTGCTCTGCTCCCAACCCTCCACCCCCTCAGAGCCCCCTCTCTCGGGCACCCCTCCTGGGCCCATCCCCACCCCCTTCTGAAGTCTCCTCCACCTGATTAACTATTAACCGAATTTTCTGTGGGGCAGGGCTACCATCTGCCTTCCTGCTACCCCATATGACCCTTCCTGGGTCCTTGCCTCAGTTTCCCCTCACACCCCAGTGATTTCTCAGCTAACCATGGGCCTGTCCCCCACTTGGGGCTAAGGTGGGAAGACCAGCTCTCACGGTTACGGGCTCAGACTCTGGAGCTGAATGCACAGGCCTGTATTCAAATCTGCTTCCGCCACTTTTTAGCCATGTGCTCTTGTACGAGTGACGTCATTTCTCTGGGCTCCATTCCCCCCCCCACCGCCGCCCCCAGGTCAAGCACAGATCCTCGGGCTACCTGCCTAGCCACACACAGGGGTTGCCGGGAGTATGGAACCCACACAAGGCATCAGTGTGGGGCTTAGCATGTGAGACACAGGCCGTGAACCAGACATGACCGAGGCCGGCCAGCCTGGTGTCCCAGGGACCCAAGAACCCCACCAATTCCAGACATTCCTCCCACCTCTTTGCACTGTGGGCAAAAGAACAGAGGGAGGACTTTGGACTCGGCCGGGATGGATGGAGAGGGGAGAGATCGCAGAGGAACCGTTCCAGGAATGATGGGAGCGAGCGCCCGCCTGAGTGGCTGGCCCCGAGGGGCCCTTGGCAGGCCCTGGCTGGGGCTCCAGACAGCCTGCCTCCCTCTCAACCTCCGCCACACGTGGGAGCCAGCTGGAGGGGCCCGAGCAGGGGGCAGCCTTTCCTCCCTGCCCTCTCCCGCGGGGGCTGGCTCCCTCTCTTCTTCCTGGAAGCAGGCTAGCAGGGCTTCCTTCAGTTCCAGGTGATAGCCCTTTCGAGCTGGGAGGCCCTGGGCAAGCGGCTTACCCTCTGGGCTTCAGTGTCCATCTGGAAAATGGAGCTGGGGTGAATGTGCCCCTCACAGGGTGGCATGAGGATTTAAAGGGCATGAGAATTAGGGGGTGCTGGTTGCGTTGGCTGAAATGAGCTGTGTGGATTACTGGCCTCTGGGGCTCTCAGCAGTCAGCAAATCACATCCCAAACCGTGCAGCTAGGGCCCAGAGCAAACCCAGGCTCCCAGTGGCTCAGGACGGGGGGCACTGTGCCCTTGCCGAGCAGGTGGCTGGCAGAGCCCGGACCCTGAGGGACGATGTTCCTCCTGGAGCTGACCGACAGGAGTCTCCAGGGCCCGGGCCCATGCCTGAATGACCCAGGGAGAAAGGCAGATCGTGCCCGGAAGGATGGCCAGAGATGGTCTGGGGACAGAGAGAACTGAGGCAGAGTGGGCTCCAGTGCATCCCCAGGCAGCTCGACCTGGTCCTGTGGCCAGTGGTCAGACCTGGACCCAGACGCCGAACGGTTCTGGTGCCATGCTTACTTGCTGGGTGACCCAGGGGACGTGGCTGCGCCTCTCTGGGCCCTCTTTCCCCGTCTGCAAACCGGGGATGATGATAATGATACCTTCCTTATTAACACTGGGTGCAAGGCTGTAAGGAAAGTGCAGGCCAGGGCCAGGCGTGCGAGTTTGAGCCGGTTGTGTTAACTTCGAAGTGTGCCCAAGGCAAGGTTCTTGGTGCTCCCTGAGGACTTAGAATTGGAGGAGGTGATACCTGCTGGGCTGACGTGCAGGGTGAGTCGGAATAGGCAGGGGGTGCCTGGCAGAGGGGAGAGCATGGACAGAGGCAGGGGCTGATGAGCTGCCAGGTGTGCAGTGGCACATGGAGAGTTCGGGTATTTCTGGAGGCCAAGTTGGAAGTGGAGCTGGGAGAGTGATGAGCTGAGCGAGCCAGAGCCTGGTTTCTCAGGACTGTTTTTGGTGATGGGCCGGCGGATGCCCCGGCAGTGCTGGGTCTCTCCACAAGATGGCGCTGGTGGTCATTCTTTGTTTCTCTTATTCTGACTTGGGTTTTTACAAGTTCTGTGGGTTTGGTTGCTTGCTTGCTGGAAGCTCTGTCGGGGGTCTGGTAATGACCCCATACGGCTGTTTGGGAATTTGGGGAAACATAGGTTCGACTCCCAAATCTCTAATGGCCATGCTTATATCCTAGAAAGCCTGGCACCACAGGGCTGAGGGTCCTAGACTCTGTCTTGGGGACACTGGGGAGTCATGAAGGATTCTAGGTAAAGGAGGGACAGGGTGGACTTGGTGCTTAGGATGATCCTCAAGCTTCCGTGTGGAAGCTGGGCCAGAGAGGAGGCTGAGCCCAGGCTTGGGTGGTGCTGGGTGCAGGGAAGGAGAGGGTGGACAGCACGTGCTCAGGAGGCCTGCAAGCTGTGTGGGGAGGGAGGTGTCCTGCAGATGAGGAACAGTCCTGAGGATGAGGGCCTCTGAGACGGGACCTGGGGATTGGGGGGGAAGTTGAGGCCAGTATGGGACCTGGGGGGGGTGTGAAGGACCCAGAGGTCCCAGGGGGAGGCATCTACAAGGCTGCAGGACAGAAAAGGGAAACTGAGGCTGTGGAGGTGTGTGAGACAGACTTGGGAGCAGGGGCCATGAGGGGGAGGAGGCCACGTCCCACCCTGTGAGCTCCAGGTTTCAGGGAGCGGGAAGAGGGTCAGCAGATAGAGAAAGCCCCTGTTGGAGAAGTGGAAGGAAAATCGGACGCACGCGGTGTCCCAGAGGCCAGAGGAGAGACTTTCATTCGGGAAGTTGGAGTTGGGGACGCCAAAGGCTGGGGCACAGGCTGCTGACTGAGCCAGGTTTCAGAGACAAGGAGCCAAAGATGTCCCCTGTGAGAGTTTAGCTGCCAGAGGGTGGGGGCCGAAGACCTAAGGTGAGGGTGGCCCTTAGCGCCCTTGAGGAGCAGAAAGCAGCGCCTCAAGGAGAAGCCAGGAATCCCGGCAAGGCTGCTGCCTCACACCCAGAGTGAGGACGCTTCCTGCCTCAGGAAAGACGTGCAGTGAGGGTGCCCCTCACACTGGGAGGACCCAGAGTAAGGACACTTCCTGTCCTACCAAGGGCATCCGCTTTAGGCGTGGAAGGAGGGCATGGAAGGAGGTCCTTCAATGCTTGCTACCCCAGCAGACGCACCAGAGGCCCTGGGCTGGGCTCGGAGTGGCCCCAAGCCCTGATAGGCACCCCTGAGAACAAAGGGACCGGGACCGGCCTCATGGCTGCAGGAGCCAAGACCTCCCACCGGCACGGGGAAGATGGCTGGGAACAGAGCTGGCTGGCTGGGAACAGAGCTGGCGGGGCGGGTGGGAGGCCAGGGCTGGCCTGGCCCCCTGCAGCCTCTTTGGAGGGAGGGTGTATTTGTTTTCTCTTGCCTTGACGGGAACTGCTGGGCTCTCAAATTCTTAAGACACCCAGACAATGGCCGTCCCAGGAAGATCCTGGACGATGCTCCGCCCCACTCTGGGTGCTGGTCTGGCCCTGTGCCCACCAGCTGTAGACTGAGATACAGGTGGGGGAGCTGGGACTCCTGCCACCCTGGAGGTGTCCTGCAGAGGCCATCCCACAATCCCTAGCGAAGGGGTTGGCTTTTAATCCCCAGGGCCCCTGTTGCCCTGGGAATAAAAACCCCTTTCCCCTCAGGCCACCCGGCCTCCCTAGCTGCTCTCAGCCTAGGTCCCTGCCTTCCCCAAACTCATGCCATCCTGGCCATATCTGTGGTCTCTCTCTCGAACAGATCATGCTTATTCTTGCCTCAGGGCCTTTGCCTGTGCTGTCCCTTCTGCCCAGAGGGCTCTTCCTTAAGATCTTTGCGTGGATGGTTTCAGCCTTCAGGTCTCAGCTCAAAGGTCACTTCTTGGGGAGGCCTTCCCTCAGCACCCCACTCCAGAAGCCACCTGCTGCCCCCGACCTGCACTGTTTTCTTCATAGACTTTGTGGCTATCCGGGAATAATCAAGTTTGTTTACTTGTTTATCTTTTCCCCTCAACCTTACACATATGGGAATGTGAGCCCCATGAGAGCCAGCATCTCATCTGTCTTGGGTTGTGTCCCCTGAGCCTAGAATGGTGCCAGGTACAGTGGATGCTCAGCAAGACAATGAATGAACAAAGCTCTTTTTACCAAGGGGAAACCTGAGGCCCAGAGAGGTGAAGGGTATTGCCCAGGAACACACAGCTCTAATGATGTAAAAGCATTTATTGAGAACTTGCTCTCTGCCAGGCATTATGGCGCGGGGAGAGGGAGCACGGCTTCTTACTTATACGCTGGGGCCCCAGCACCCCATGTGCCCCAGGGTCCAGGACTCGGCACTGCCTCCTGCTGGCTGAGTCCCCACGCACATGTCACTCCACTTCTCTGAGCCTTAGCGTTCCCTGTCCGAAAAATGGGAATCCTCCCCCAAACGAGGACAGTGCTTGGGAGAATAAGCCTGTGGTAAGAGTTCGGCTACTATGATATGAGGGAACTTTAAAATATTGTTTTTAGAGGTGAGTGCTGGGTTGGGTGACCGTTAAACAGACAAGAAAGCTGAGGTTTAAAGAGGTGAGGCCACCTACCCAAGGTCCCAGGGTCGGGAGGGGTAAGGCCAATATTATTAAGAGGCTGGCAACTTTTCAAACTTAGGTTCTGAACCTCCAGAGGGTCCTGCGGGAGAGGGCTGGTTTGGGGAGATGCCCAGGGACAGAGGGGCTGGGAGGGCAGAGAGGGATGGAGTGGTGAGGACATGGCCAACAGCAGGGAAGTGAGCTGCCAAGAGGGCGGAAGTCAGGGGTCACAGCGCCCAAGAGGCTCCAAGAAGCTCTGAGAGAGGGAGCAGAAGTGAGAGGTTCAAGAGAAGGAGATAGCAAAGTGCAGCGTCACTGGGGAGGAGAGAGCCTGCAGTGCCAGGAGGGCTGGGACGGTGGCAGCGGTCCCGGCCACACCCCTTCCCAGCTGGAAGCCTCAGGGGAGCGGGACACCTGTAGGGGAGGGCGCGGGCCCAGGGCATGGCAGCCCCGGGGGGCAGGGCAGAGCTGGCCGCGTGCCCAGACCCTGCGGCGAGGCGGACAGGCCTGGCAGTGGCCCCAGCATGGTGTCTGTTGCAGGTGGCCGGACTGTGCCATGCTGTTCCGGACCCAAGGTGGCAGCTCTCACCGCGGGGACCCTGCTGCTCCTGACAGGCATCGGGGCAGCGTCCTGGGCCATTGGTGAGAGTGGTCCCTGCGCCTCTCCCCTGCCCTGCCCTGCCCCGCAGCCCCTTGCCTGCCTGCCCTCACCTCTGCCTTCTCTGCAGTGACCTTTCTACTCAAGAGTGATCAGGAGCCGCTGTATCCGGGTGAGTAAAGCAGGCTGGGACCCTCTGGGGAGCCCTGGAGGAAACCTGTCCCTGGTGGGAGCTCAAGAAAAAATTTCCGAGTGACTGCGTGAGCATGCGCAGAGATGCTAATAGCACTCAGATTGAGCACCTGCTGGGGACAGGGTGCCGTTCTAAGCACTCCACCTTGTCTTGTGTTTTCCAGACTCTAAATGTGTTACCCATTAGTGCCTCATGAAATCAAATTAGGGAGTCGGAAACCACATTTTAAAAAGCACGGAAGAGAGGGGCCCCTGGGTGGCTCAGTCGGTTAAGTGTCTGCCTTGGGCTCAGGTCACGATCTCAGGGTCCTGGGATCGAATCCCGCATTGGGCTCCTTGCTCAGTGGGGCGCCTGCTTCTCTCTTTCCCTCTGCTACTCCCCCTGCTCATGCTTTCTTTCATTCTCTCTCTCTCAAATAAATAAATAAAATCTTTTAAAAAATTAAAAGCATAAAAGAGATTAGATTAGAAAAGACCACAGCGCATCTCTCTCAGCACGGGAAAGTTTTGTTAATCTTTCGTTTTGGTTCCATGACAGCCGTGCTGTTATTCACTCCATCTTTACAGATGGGGAAACTGAGGCTCAGAGCAATACAGGGATTTGCTCCAGAAAGCACAAGTTCAGGGCTGCGTCATAAAATGTAAAAATGTGTTTCTTCACTACGAGGCATGGTCAGAGCCCATTTGTGAGGCGCTATATGAATTTGGCGACCGCTTCTCATTCTCTAGGGTGGGTGGGTGGAGGGGGGTACTGCTGCTGTGATCCCCATTTACAGATGTGGGAAGTGAGACCAGAGAGGACACACAGCCGGAAGGTGATGAGGCCAGGAATAGCTCTCAGACTGGCCCGGCAGAGCTGGGTCTGCAGGCAGCTGAGAATGAATGGCTACGCTAATAATAGATGTGGAAACTAAACGTGGAATGAATGGGTGAATTTTCCCGGGTGCCCGCCCCCAGCTGCCGTTCTGTGGCCCAGCACAGCAGGAAGAAAGGGGAAGTTGGGTGATGGGATGTATTTTTCACTCCCAGGAGCCTCATCTAATTCCATAAAGGACTCAGCTCGTGCTAAGAGAAGAAATGAAAATCCGGACAAGGAAAGCCTACATCAGCGTTGGTCACCATCCCAGCACTTAGTGAGCATTTATAGGTGCCAGGTGTAGGCCTCGGGGCTTTATGGTTTCAATTCATTAAACCCTCACAAAAGCCCATTTTCATATGGGGAGACTGAGGCGCAGAAAGGTCCAGCGACTTGCCGCAGGTCTCAGAGCTAGGAAGCAGCAGCTCTGGGATTCGAACCCAGGCAGCCTAGATCTGCTCAATGCAGAATTACTGTCCTTTGCTGTTTCTCGAGAAACAGCCAAGCAACTTGCAGTAGTGACAGCTACCATCTGCTGCTGCCCCCGTGCTGTAACCTTGGACCTATTACCATTGCCCCCCTTTTGCAGATGGGGGACACTGAGGCCCAGTGAAGTGAACTGACTTGCCCAAGACCACACACCGAAGAAGCGGCAGGCCAGAGGGATCATGTCCCAGCAGCCGCTCCGTAGCTCCGTAGCTCCGTAGCTCCCCACTGCCACTGGGCTAAAGTCTCAACCCCCTGCAGGCTCCAGGGCTCCTAGGGGGCAGACCCCTCTTCCGCCGTCACATCACGCTTGCTTCTGATGCTCTCCAGCATCCAGCCTATGGGCCACTCTCATGCCCTTGAAGGGCCCTCCTGGCCCCACGTTCTTGTCTTACCACCTCTTGCCTGCTCACACTTAGAAGCAGTTTTGAGGTTCTGCTGAGTTCTGGGGCCTCAGACCCATCCTGCCCTGGGTCCCAACCTCCTTAGTCATAAGCTAGGGGGCCATGGGGAAGAAGGAGAGACAATGCAGTCCACTAGCTAAATGTGGCTTTGGGGTCTCACCTTCAGGCTTTAACTTTGCTGAGCAAGGCCTTCCTTCCTGCACCCCCAGGCCCCATGCTCCCCCCACCCCACGGTCATGCCTATTGCCCAGGGTAAAATTCTCCTTACACTTGACTTCTGGGGAATTTCAGGAGGGCAGGGGCACTGGGTTTGCTGCCCCAGACGGTGTCCTGCACATGGTGAGTGCTCAGGAGGTCTTTGCTTAATGCACAAGACAAGTCACGGAGATGAACTGACTTGCCCTTGACCTCCAGCTGGAAAGTACCTAGGCCGTGATTCAGACCTCGCTCTGGCCAACGCCTGCCCTTCACTTATACTTGGGTTTTCCAAAAATGATGGGAAATTACAAAACAAATGAAAACAACCCCCAAACTACATCCCCGCCTCATTTTTCTGGGATTTTCACACCCCTAAATATATCAGACAATTCAGGAGGCAAAACCAGGTGACCCAGAACACATTTTCTTTTCTTTTTTTCTTTTTTCTTTTTTTTGCAAATAATACCAACAAGAATGAAGAGTCGAAAAGTGAGAAACAGTGGCACAGAACGTGGCTTTAAAAATAATCGGAGGGGGCATTTGATATTCCCTCCCTCTCCCTCCCCCAACACATATCCATAAAGTGATCCTTTTTTCCCCCTAAAACCTTACCGTATCTGGAACACTTGGAAGCTTTTTACCCCCCAGCTGGTGTTTCAAATCCCAAGTCTTGGTCTTGGAACTCGGGGTGTTGGGCGCCATCGCAGGGGTGCCAGGCATCGCCTGCCCCCACCCCAGAGCAGGGGGCAAGGCAGTCAGGAAGCCTTCGCTGTGGGTAAGGAGGTCACTGGACAGGCTGTCCGGGCCAACGTGCAGAGCTTGGGGTCTGGAGTCATGCAGACCTGGATGCAAGTCGTCTCTGCTTCTCACTCACTTGGTGATGTTGGGCAAGGCACCTCGCCTCTCCAAGCTTCAGCCTCCTCCTCTGATCAGAATGGGGATGATCTTTGTGGCCTTGGGGTGGTGTGGCGAGGCCATGCTGTTGGTGGGCAGGGAGAACGTGAGGCATAGTGCTGGGCACACGGCAGGTTCTCAGAAGACAGGGTCCTCTAGAACTGGGTCTAGAACTGCCTCCCTTGTCCGGATCAGGTGGCTAGGGGAAGACCCCTCAGCTCGGGGGGAGGCCAAATTGAGTTTGCCCCAGGTCTGGTTTCCTAGAATGTGCTCTGGGGCGCCAGCAATGCAGGAGGCTCAGGAGAATAGGACCGAGGGGGTCACAGCTGGCCTTTCCCCAAACCTGCTCCCCCTGCGCCCTGCCCCATCCTGGTCAACAGCAGCTGCATCCTTCTACGGCTCAGGCCAGACACCTCAGAGTTGTCCTTGACCCCTCCCTTTCCTTCACAGCCACATGCAATCTGTCAGCTCGACCCACAAAATCTCTCCAGAATCTAAACTCTTCTCCGCCACTGCCCCCTCCCCGGCCGCGGCCGGGTCTCCATCCTCCGCAGCCTGGACTCCACAGCAGCCCCTCCCTGGGCTCCCTGCTCCTGTGGCGCCCCCTACAGTCTGTCCCTGGCCCGCAGCCAGAGGGAGCCTGTGAACCCCCCAGTCGGGTCAGGGCGCTGCTGGCTCAGGGCCTCCCCTGGCTGCATCTCTCTCCCTGGAGAAGCGAAGTCCTCGCATGGACCTGGCCTTCCTCCCAGCTCATCCGCCCCTCGCTCACTCTGCTCCAGCCTCCTTGCGGTTCCTCCCCCAGCCCCGCCCCCACCTCCCCCAGCCTTGGGATCTCTGCCCTTGCAGTTCCTGTGGCCTCGTTCTCTGTTCCCTCACCTACCTTCATGACTCGACTCCCTCCCCTCCTTCAGATCTATGTTCACACCCCACCTTCCCAGAAAAGCTTTCCCTGCCCGCCCGCCTGTGGGAAATGGCAAGTTCTCCCCACACGCCAGTGTGCCCCTGCCTCAGTCAAGCTGGATTTGTCTCCTTGGCTCCTTATTTTGTGACACACCGTCTATTTTGCTTACTTGTCCCTTTCGTTACCTATTTCACCTACTGGTCCTGGAGTTCCACAGAGCAGGGGTTTTGTCTGATTTGTTTATTGCCATGACAATTTGCTCATTGCCCAAAATAGAGCCTAGCACGTCCTGAGCGGTAAATGTAAATAAATAGGCCTGAGGGCTGTGACCTGCTTAGGTGTGGAAGACGGTCCTCTGGCCCTGCGTGGGGAGCAGCCTGGGAGGAGTTAAGAGGACGGGCAGGTCCCAACACAACCAGCCCCAGACGCGAGGAATCCCTCCGGCACTCTCCGAACATCCCCTCTCTTCTCACAGTTTGTGATGATGTGTTTGGTTGAGTGACTTTTTCATTGCTGTCTGGCTCCCCCAGTCCTAGACCTTGGCTTGGTGAGGGCACAGCCCAGGGCTGTCTTGGTCATCTTTATGCCTCCAGCGTCACCCCCCACCGGGCTGCGTATGGAGTGTACATCCAGTTAACGCTTATGATAGGGTGAATGAATGAATGAGTGAGCCAATGAATGAATGAATACTACATTGTCAGCTTGGAGAATTGCACTTGAATATATATTCAAGTCTCGGACAAGTCCTGCAGAAAAGATAGCTTTTCTTTCTTTTTTTCCTCTTTCTTTTTTTCTTTTTTGAAGACTATAGGGTATCTAAATATTTTGGCCCTCTGAGGTGTTAGTCAAGGGTCTTCGGGCTGCATAAGACAAAAGGAGAAACACTGGTTAAACAACAAGGGAACAATTCACTTACTTATCCAACCATTCTGGGGGTCTTTAGGGGTCTGAGTCCATCAAGGGGCAGACATCCCTTGGCTTTCTTCCACGTTGGCTTATTTTTCCCCCACATCGGGGCAAAGACGGCCCCCAGCAGCTCCAGCCTCACAGGCCATTCTCCTGTGAGCGAGGTTGAAACGGCTTCCCCCTTCCCCGAAGGCCCGATGTCTGAGCAAAGGGCCGGACGTGCGGCGCATGCGCGGCCAGCTTAGGTAGCAGGGAGGCGACAGGAAGGTCCTGGGGTCCCTGGCCCGCAGGCGCGCCCCGAGCTCCTATCGGCCCCCCGCGGGGACTCAGGCCTGGAGCTCTGCGGGCCGGGCTGGGGGGCGGGGCGCGGCGGGGAGGTGACCCAGGCGGCCGTCCTGTCGCCCTGCAGTGCAGGTCAGCCCGGCCGATGCCCGGCTCATGGTGTTCGACGACACGGAGGGCACGTGGCGGCTGCTGTGTTCCTCGCGCTCCAACGCCAGGGTGGCGGGCCTGGGCTGCGAGGAGATGGGCTTCCTCAGGTACCGGGTGGCCCGGGAGTGGGGGGGGAGACAGGGAGGGGCGGGGCGGGAGGAGCAGGCCTGACCCCTGCCTGCCCAGGGCCCTGGGCCACTCGGAGCTGGACGTGCGGACGGCGGGCGCCAACGGCACGTCGGGCTTCTTCTGCGTGGACGAGGGGAGGCTGCCGCTGGCCCGGAGGCTGCTCGAGGTCATCTCTGTGTGGTGAGGAGGACCGCGGGGCCCGGGCGCCCATCCCGCCTGCCCTCGGGGGCCCTTTCTCCCGCCTGAACTGGCCTCCCCTTTTGTTTCCGCCTCTGCCCCTTTCTGTCACAGTGACTGTCCCAGGGGCCGTTTCCTGGCTACCGTCTGCCAAGGTGAGTCCCTGCTACTCGGTACCCTCTCCCTGAGACCCCCCCCAGGGCAGGGCCATGGCCCATCGGACACCGCCCCCCCCCCAAGCCTGCCCAACACACACTGGCCATAGCCTCTTACCCTACAAGGATGGAGCTGGGTCCTCTCCGACTCCCCTGGGGAGGGAGGCATGGCCATCTCCCCATAGGGTTCCAGGGATGGGACTATGTCTCCTCACTCCCCTAAGGTGGGCCCATGTTCGGCAGAACCCTAAGGTCAGGGTCTCGTCCCATCAGACACCCCCTCTCCCCCCACTGGCCATATTTTCTTAGATCCTATGAGGGTGGAGCTGTGTCCTCTGACTCCTCCAGGGTGGCAGGTCCATGTCCCCTCAGGCCCCCAGAGCAGGGCCATGTTCCTATAGGTCCCCAGGGATGGGGCTGTGTCCTGAGGGTTCCAGGCCCTCCCGCTGCCCCTGACTCTGCCTCTCCCGCAGACTGTGGCCGTAGGAAGCTGCCTGTGGATCGCATCGTGGGAGGCCAAGACACCAGCCTGGGCAGGTGGCCGTGGCAAGTCAGTCTCCGTTACGATGGAGCACACCTCTGTGGAGGGTCCCTGCTCTCCGGAGACTGGGTGCTGACAGCCGCCCACTGCTTCCCTGAGTGAGTGTCCCCCACAGCCCTGAGCGGGGGAGGCAGGGGAGAGGCGAGCTGGGAGAGGCTGCGCCCGGGGAAGCTGCCGCCCTTCTCTCCTATTCCCTGGTAGGCGGAACCGGGTCCTGTCTCGATGGCGAGTGTTTGCCGGCGCTGTGGCCCAGGCCTCACCGCATGGCCTGCAGCTGGGGGTGCAGGCAGTAGTCTACCACGGGGGCTATCTCCCCTTTCGAGACCCCAACAGTGAGGAAAACAGCAATGATATCGCCCTGGTCCACCTGTCCAGCCCCCTGCCCCTCACGGGTAAGTCTGGGGACTGGGCCTTGGCCTGGGGACTCAGAGGCTGGAGGACAGAGGACCGAGCCATAGGACTCCATGGTGATAAGGAAAACGACCTCTAGGGGAGTTAAACGCGGAGTTCACGTTTGCCTCAGCAGATCCACCCGGGGCTACGTGCCCAGAGGAAATGAAAATACAGGTGCACACCAGATCTTAGACACAGGTGTTCACGGCAGCTCTATTCACTTTGACAGTCAAAAGATGGAAGCAGCTCAGATGTTTGACGAATGGATAGACAAAATGCGGTAGATCCATACAGTAGGGTAATATTTGGCCGTAAGATGGAATCGTGGCGCACTGACACATGATATGTGACCGATAAACCTTGAGAACATTGTGCTAAACCAAAGAAGTCAGACACAAGAGGCCACTATGTGATTCCATTTATATGAAATGTCCAGAATAGGCAGAGCTGGAGAGAGAGAAAGTGGATTAGTGGCTGCCAGGGGGTTGGGCTGGTGTGAGTTACGGGGTTGGGGGGGGCGGATGGGGACAGGGAGATTGGGAGGTGACAAGTAGAGAATACAGGATTTCTTTTTTGGGGTGATCAAAACGTTCTCAAATCGATGGTGGCCATAGTGGCAACTTCCTATTGCCAGGCATGCAGCTAAACTCTCTCTGTGAACCCCCTAAAGATCACCGACTCGCCCGCTGAAGGGGCTGAACTGTGTGGTGTGTGACTTGTGTCTCGGAAAAACTGCTACCAAAAAACACAAGTGAAATGAAGAAAACTTTTACTTTTTTTTATTTTTATTTTTTAAAGATTTTATTTATTTATTTGACAGAGAGAGAGAGACACAGCGAGAGAGGGAACACAAGCGGGGGGAGTGGGAGGGGGAGAAGCAGGCTTCCCGCGGAGCAGGGAGCCCGATGCGGGGCTCGATCCCAGGACCCTGGGATCACGACCCGAGCTGAAGGCAGACGCCTAACGACTGAGCCACCCAGGCACCCCCTGCTGTGGTTATTTTAAAAGAACAGAGGAGAGGGTGCACTGGGGCCCTTGAGGCTGCTGGACAGAAGCTTTGTTCCAGGCGGGGCAGGCCGGCAGGGGTTGGACCGCCTGGTCTCTCTCCCAGAATACATCCAGCCCGTGTGCCTCCCGGCTGCCGGCCAGGCCCTGGTGGACGGCAAGATCTGTACCGTAACTGGCTGGGGCAACACGCAGTACTACGGTGAGTCCTGTCCTCTGCCTGCAGAGCCACCGTGAGGGAGACGGAACTGGGCTGGGGAAAGGCAGTCTGGCTGGAAAGGCAAATGCTTCTTGGCCCTGGGGCCCAGGGACGCTGAAGAGCCTGGGGGCGGGGGGCAGCAGGAGGGAAGGGGGCTGCGCCTGTTCCCCAGCCTCGGCCAGCCTTGCCCGCACACCCCCAGGCCAACAGGCTGGGGTACTCCAGGAGGCCCGAGTCCCCATAATCAGCAATGAGGTCTGCAACGGCCCCGACTTCTACGCGAACCAGATCAAGCCCAAGATGTTCTGTGCCGGCTACCCTGAGGGTGGCATTGACGCCTGCCAGGTGAGGGACTGTGGGGGGCGGCCCCTAGCCCCTGCCACTCCAGGGATGGAGACACAGGTCAGTGGGTGGCCGGGCTCCCTCTCTCAGGGCCAGAGGGCTCTGTGACCACAGCCCCTGGCCATCCAAGAGGGCCTCCCGGATGCCCTCTTGGCCTCCAGCCCGGCCTCCTCTCCCCACACCAGGGTGACAGCGGTGGCCCCTTCGTGTGTGAGGACAGCATCTCTCGGACGCCACGTTGGCGGCTGTGTGGCATCGTGAGCTGGGGCACCGGCTGTGCCCTGGCCCAGAAGCCGGGTGTCTACACCAAAGTCAGTGACTTCCGGGAGTGGATCTTCCAGGCCATAAAGGTGAACGTCGGGCTCAGATGGGAGCCCAGAGGGCGGGAGTGTTTGGGACTCTAATGGGGAAAGGGGAGGAGGCAGCGGTTTTCTGGTAACCTGTGCTCAGGCCAGAAGATGGTGCCCTAGGGAACAGATGGATTTCCAAGGGCTTGTGGGGAGGGGAGGTTAGCTGTGGGACTGGGGAAGCCTCTCAGACCTCAGAAGCCCCCAGTTGTCTTTCTCCAGACTCACTCCGAAGCCAGCGGCATGGTGACCCAGCTCTGACCTGTGGCTTCTCCTTGATGCGCACGCCTCTGGGGCCCAAGTTCACCTAGGTGGCTCCAGCCCCACCAGGGTGAACCCCACCCTGGGCCCGGAATGGGACGTTTTTCTTCTTGGGCTGAGCCCACAGGTCCAAGGATACCCTCCCTCCAGGCTCCTCTCTTCCACAGTGGCGGGCCCACTCAGCCCTGGGACCACCTGAGCCTCACCCTCCTGACCCCCATGTAAATATTGTTCTGCCATCTGGGGACCCCCATCTAGGTGCCCATGATGACAGGATGCTCTTTAAATAATAAAGATGGTTTTGATTAACATGGCCTCTGAGTTTGCAAATGTAAACAGCAATGATGACATTTGTCTGGGAGGGAAGAGAGAAATTAGGGACTGGCACAAATCAGGCAGGGAGCATTATCCTCCAATTCTCATTGGCTTAAGAGAAAAAAAAAATTAATTGGTTCACTTAACTGAAAATGCCCTGGAGCATGTGGCTTCAGGTACTGCTGGATCCAGCTGCTCAAATATTTTTCATCAGGACTGCCTCATTTCCTCTCTAAAATCTGCTTTTGTACGGAGAAAAGCTTTATTTGCAAGAAGCCTCCCCTACAACCAGAGACAGAGATGTCCCCCACCCACCCGAAGGCCAGGCTGATAGGCCATGGACCACTTAGCAGCCCCAGTGGAAAGGAAATGCTTTTCTTCCAATAGCTACAGCAAGAAAGGCCCAGGCCTGGCTCTCACTGGGCAGATTTGGGTCATAGGCTCATCCCTCATCAAATCACTGTGCATGTGATGCATGGAGTCAGGGGGTTGACCCTCAAGAACTGTATGACTTCAGCGTAGGGGGTTCCGCAAAGGAAAAAAAGGGATGTAGATGCCCAGTGTGTGTTGGCAGGGGGAGACATTCACCATAGGCCAACACAAGAAACCGGGCCCTGTAGGGTGGAGACAGGAGTGCCAGGCCCCATGAGCAGAGCCTGAGACCCCCTGCCCCTTCCTTCATCAGGGCTGGAGGTTGGGTCCCAGCTTCCCCTGGGACCCACTCTGTTCCCTAGAGCATCTGCAGATCTCATGGAGGCTTGACGGCCACCGGGGGTGTTTCCTGTGTTTGCCACCAGGGGGTGCTGCTGCCCCCCAACTGGGAGAAATTGAGCGTTTTCTGCCCTAATAGTCCACGTGTTGCTGAAAACCAGCTGGTCTGCAGGAAAATGCTCACCAGAACCTGTTTCCCATGACTTCCAGTGATAAAAATTATAGTGTGTTGCCCCTCAACTGCATGCACCCAAGCAATTTCCTAAAACATAGACACAGGAAAGTGCCTTTGAATTACAGACTGTTTGGGAAATGCTCCAAGCATCACTCCCTGGATACCAAACTCTTAGCGTGGCTGATCCCCAGCATTGCTTTGTCCTTCCGGATCCACCATCCACCCCCACCACCGTCCAGTCTCATTTGCAAGCTCCAGGCAGGTTTTCCAAACGTCTGCACGAGGCTGCACGGTCCTACCCATCCTGAGATGTTCATTTGAGACTTGGCTCATACATTGTTTTGTTAGAATTTTGTAATTCGCTGGAAAATGAACGGTGCCTGTGTTTTATGAAGCTCAGGGATTCTGAGAGAACACGGCCCCACGGTGGGGATCCTGAACAGATACAACCATGTCTTAGAGGGCCTAAGGGGACACAGCTTACCCTGGCAGGAGGGGGTTGGTCTGAGCAGACTTGTCCCAGCTCTGCAGGGGACAAAAGAGGGCATGGCCTGCCTTGGGGGACCTGAGAGGAGGCAGCCTTATTCTAGGGGATCTAGTGGATGTTTGGGCACTAAAAGCCAGTAACATGTCTACCGGAAACAGGTCGACCAGGGGGCCACTCTGGCATCCACCACCATTATTGCTCTCTTGGAGGCAGGGAGGCAGTTAGGGGAGACCACGATTCACTCAACAGCCATCTACCACCTTCTTGTGTTTGCCAAGGGTCTGTGAGCCTCAGTTTCTCCTCCTGCCCCCACCAATCTTGCCCCCCTCCCCAAGGAGCCACACAGGTATTAGAACCATGACGACAATCCGGAGTTGTCTTGATGTTCTGCCGGGGTCTTGGTCTTCAGGAAAGTTGACTATCCAAACTCTAAACTTCCGAGTCACTGGTGTGCATCTCCGAGCCAGAAGGATTTGGCCCACCGAATATAACCATATCAGGAGCACAAGCAAGGAAGGCTTTGCATTCACAGTCAGTGCTTCTAGCTGAATATTCATTTGCAAATATAGAAGAGTCTTCTGGATGTCAGTTGCAATGGAAAGCTCTGCACGAAGTTCCTAAGTTGGCGTCCTCCCAGTCAAGTGGAAGGAGAAACGTTCAGTCTTTCACAATAGTTCTCTTACAAGGAAATTGCCACCGTGATTAACAATGATTGTGATGATCAGAAATAATTACCATGAACGCTCAAGTAGTGGTGCGAATAGGGAGTGGATTTTCGTTTCTGCAGGAAAAGTAACACTATTTAAATCCTGTGGTATCACGTGGGCAGCGGTTCCAGTTCCGTCGCTGCATAACAAACCACCGCAAACTTAGTGGTGTGCAATAGCAATCATCTTATGATGTTCGTGGATTCCGTGGCTCAGAAAGTCCAATGGGAGCAGCAGGGACTGCTTGGCTCTGCTCCGTGATATTGGGGTCCTAAGCTGGAAGATCTAAAAGATGGAGGGACTCACTGGACAGAGACGGGGTAGGGAAGCTGCTTTACTCACACGTCTGGCGCCTGGGCTGGAGCGGCTCAGAGGCTGGGCTCAGCTACCAGCTCACCGGCCTCTGAGCATGGCTGCCTCAGGACAGTGGGACTTCTCAGGGTCTCAGGCTCCCCAGTGAGCATTTCAGCAAACACTGCCTCTTGTACCCCAGCCTCCCTTCTGCTCTACTCAGTCGGTGGAAGGTGTCACAAACCTGCCCAGACTCAGAAGAGCGGAGAGAGACAGACCCTGCCTCTCAGTCCGTTGAAAAAACTCGGGGCCGTATTTTAGAACCGCCACAGAAACTCAATGACTATAGGAGCATGTTGGCCGCTGATGTAGTGGAGACACTGTCCCTCACTAAAGTGTTCAACCCGAAAGATTGGCCTGCTGTGATTGTGGTTGAGAAGATTGTGACAGTAATAAATGTTTAATACATCTTCAGATTTGTTTTTCTGTTTCAGAAGTTCATCCTAGGATAGTGATATTCAGCTTTGGGCGTATCCTCATTTTAATGCTCAGCTGGTCAGCATTTGGTCAGAATGCCTATTTGTTGTCCTTGTAAATAATAATAATCTTCATAAGAGTAAGTGTATGAATGAATATTTTTTAACAATTTTTATGTGCTGGGCCCTGCTGAGAGTTTTCTGTATGTTATTCCATTATTTGCTCAAAGGCAGACATTTGAGTGTGGTTTTCTTAATTTTTACTATTCATTCAACTAGTATTTATTGAGCACCTATTATGTGCCAAGCAAGCACCGTTCTGGGCAATGGGGACACAACTGGAGAAAATTCAGATAAAATTCCTGTTCTTACGGGTTGTCTTGTGGGGGGCGGGACAGGCCAGGTATAAATACCACTGGTCCCACTTGTATTACTATTTTATTTAGATCATGTCTTTCTGCTTCTCTTTTTGTCTCTTTTTTCAACTTAGCCTTGACTTTCACAGTAATCTTTTAAAAAACTGAAGGTTTCAGGCGGCAGTGGCGTACTTTTTTCAATAGAAATAAAAAATATTAGGGGCGCCTGGGTGGCTCAGTTGGTTAAGGATCGCCCTCAGCTTGGGCTGTGATCCCGGGGTCCTGGGATCGAGCCCCATGTCCGGCTCCCTGCTCGGCGGGGAGCCTGCTTCTCCCTCTGCCTCTGCCCCTGCCCCTTCTCCTGCTCATGCTCTCTCTTTCTCAAACAAATAAATAAAATCTTAAAAAAAAAAGAAATAACAAATATTAGATAAACAAATCAGAGTAAAATGAAGATCAGTGCTTCCTCATTCCCTCCTAGACACTCCCAGAATTCCTGCATGGGCAGCCCACGAGCCAGCCACACTTTGGGAAATGCTGCTTTAATCCTCACATAAGCCAGGAGCAGAGGTCTGTGGGGTATGCCTGTGGGACACCTTACCAGGGGGCATGTAATCTCCTCGAGGTGGCACCTGTGAGGGGGCAAAGCCGGGGCTGTGACTGGAACATCTCAAGAGAGGGGTCCGGGTCTCCCACCGCCACCCCCTCCCTGCTGACCAGGCTTGGACACTGCTCCCTGGGGTGGGAGGGTGTTCCCAGGGCCCCATGCCAGGGTGTTCTGGGAATGCAGCTAGGAAGCCTCAACCAGAGATTCTTCAGAGTCGGGGGAAGGTGAGGGGTCCACTCAGATCAGGGCCTAGGATAAGCACTCCTCCTCTCTCCCACCTGGTTTGACCAGGTGCCCCGGGGACCCCTACGTTGACCATGGAGTGCCCCCTGCCTAACTCAGAACGTCTTCTGCCAGGGAAGCCCCCACTGATCTCCACAGGTGACGGCATGAGCCTCCTTTGCTGGTTCCTTATTCCCAGCTCCATGTCAATCTTTCCTTCCGTCGGTATGTCCCCCACTCATGCTCCCATATGCTCCGCTATGAGTTTCTAGCACACAGTCCGCCATCATTCTCTGCAGCCGCCCCCTGTGGGCCCCTGGGCTGGCCTGCAAGCCCCTTAAACTCCCCAGGGGCACATCTTGACCACCCCTCCTCACCTGCCGGCCCAGGGCCCAGGAGGCTGCGAGTGCATCTCTAGCGCCCTGCGGAGAGCTGGGAGTGTCCAGGGGAGGAGACGTACCTGCGTTGTCAGCTCAGGGCAGCAGAGTCCCAATTCCCTGTCTGCAGATTGCTTGACTCACGCTCAGGCCTGCTGATGAAGTGGGGAGCCCCTCCTGGACTCTGAGTGCCTGTGGCAACCCTGCCCATGGGGAAGGCCCTGGAAGCCACCTGTCCGCTCTCCCCACTTTACCCCACCCCCACCCACAGGCCTGGCCCAGCCCTGGCCAGTCCAGCCAGACCAGATCGGATCCTTGGGAGCTTTCTGGGCCTGCTGGATCCTCGATCCTGAGGTACAGGCTCCCCAGCCCCACCTTGGCCCCCTCCCGGGCCCCTGCCTCAGCCCTGGGTATCAGCCATTGCAGCCACCCCAGTACACGAGGTCACCGTGGCGATGCTCTGGCTGCTACTGGTGGGCGAGCAGGCATGACGCTCTGGAAGAGGACCAGCTGTGGTGGGGGACCCCGCCCTTGGCTGACCCCCCTCCCCTCAGTCCCGCAGAATCAAGTGACCTGGAGCGAGGA